GTGAGGATCTTTTTTGGAACTAATGTGATCCAGGAGACTTGGAGTGGACGTCAAGGAAGCAGTGAGGGGGGCACGAGGCAGGAGGGCGCGCCCCCACCCTCGTGGGCCCCTAACAGCTCCACCGGCCTATTTCTTTCGCCTATATATACTCTTATACCCTAAAACCTCTGGGGAGAGCAACGAAACACCTTTTCCACCGCCGCAACCTTTTGTACTCGTGAGATCCCATCTTGGGGCCTTTTTCGGTGCTCCGCCGGAGGGGGATTCGATCACGGAGGGCTTCTACATCAACACCATAGCCTCTCCAATGATGTGTGAGTAGTTTACCACAGACCTTAGGGTCCATAGTTATTAGCTAGATGGCTTCTTCTCTCTCTTTGGATCTCAATACAAAGTTCTCCTCGATATTCTTGGAGATCTATTCAATGTAACTCTTTTTGTTGTGTGTTTGCCGAGATCTGATGAATTGTGGGTTTATGACTTGATTATTTATGAATATTATTTGATTCTTCTCTGAATTCTTATATGCATGATTTGATATCTTTGCAAGTCTCTTCGAATTATCGGTTTAGTTTGGCCTACTAGATTGATCTTTCTTGCAATGGGAGAAGTGCTTAGCTTTGGGTTCAATCTTGCGGTGTCCTTTCCTAGTGACAACAAGGGCAGCAAGGCACGTATTTTATTGTTGCCATCGAGGATAAAAAGATGGGGTTTATATCATATTGCTTGAGTTTATCCCTCTACATCATGTCATCTTGCCTAAAGTGTTACTCCATTCTTATGAACTTAATACTCTAGATGCATGCTGGATAGCGGTCGATGTGTGGAGTAATAGTAGTAGATGCAGAATCGTTTCGGTCTACTTATCACGGACGTGATGCCTATATTCATGATCATTGCCTTAGATATCAGCATAACTATGCGCTTTTCTATCAATTGCTCGGCAGTAATTTGTTCACCCACCGTAATACTTGCTATCTTGAGAGAAGCCACTAGTGAAACCTATGGCCCCCGGGTCTACTTTAAATCATATTAGTTTCCCGTCAATTAGCCATTTCTGTCGCCGTTTATTTTGCAATCTTTACTTTCCAATCTATACAAAAATACCAAAAATATTTATCTTATTATCTTTATCAGATCTCACTTTCGTAAGTGACCGTGAAGGGATTGACAACCCCTTTATCGCGTTGGTTGCGAGGTTCTTGTTTGTTTGTGCAGGTACTAGGCAACTTGCGTGTAGTCTCCTAATGGATTGATACCTTGGTTCTCAAAAACTGAGAGAAATAGTTACGCTACTTTGCTGCATCACCCTTTCCTCTTTAAGGGAAAACCAACACATGATCAAGAGGTAGCACTAGGCATGCATTAAAGCATACATACCTCTTGGAAGACTGTGAGGTCTCCGCAGTACTCCCGGTCCCTTTTCGTTTTGAACGACGACCTTGTGTGGGGGCGCCCTCGAGGAGATACGGTCCCTGGAGCACCGATCCTGTTAAAATCCAGATCAGTACAACATGTAAGGATGCAGATGAGGATCTCTTCTTAGTAAGCCTCTGGATACTCACAATGCAGAATGGGTAAAGGCGAGGGCAGTCGGCGATGATGGCCACTTCTGAACCATCAAAGCTCGCCTGATAGAATACCCCATCGTCGAATTGTCTCTCTCTCTCTCTCTCTCTCTCTCTCTCTCTATATATATATATATATATATATATATATATATATCTGGATCCTCACAAAAGCCAGGATCTTCGTCACGATTTTGATCCTTCGGCTGGGGAGCAGGACAGTGGACGTCCTCGATCATCCTCCTTCGTGACTAGTTGGTGGCAACAAAAAGTGCATGCGATTAGTGTGTTCAATGCAGTGAAATAAGCACAGACGAATCGAGATCTTGCCCATTCAATAGGGGTGTACATGGAATAGGCCTCCCGATAGTTTAACCAGAGAAAATCTTCTTTTTCGCCCTTGTACAGATCAGCCAAAATTGAAGCCAGTTCGGCTGAGGTATCTGGACCTTGCCGTCTGTAACGGGACTCGTCGTCTTCTTCGTTGTAACACTATAAGGGAGTTACTCTGGATTGAAGGGGCTGGACACACCTCTTTATTGCAATTGCCATGACCTAAACTATTGAGAGTTCGAAGTGGGCGAGTAGTCTGACCTTGCTGACCAACCTCTGTATCTCCGCATTGTCCTCTTCTTTGGGACTTCGGGGGCGCCAGTTGAGGTGCTTCTTTAGAGGAGCGCTAGAAAATTCAGGGAGACCGCGCCTGACTGGATCCAGCAGCAGAACATCGTCCATATAGAACCACTCTGAAGACCACTGCGGGTATGCTTCTTTAGGTATTCCTACAGGGTATCCGGATCCGGCAATACGCCATACTTCGGCACCACCCACTTCAAATATGGAACCCCCTTGGTGGCGGGGAACGAGGTAGAAAATTTTCCTCCATAATCCAAAATGGGCCTCGATACCTATGAATAGCTCGCAGAGGGCGACAAAGCCTGAGATGTGCAGAATCGAACCTGGGGTGAGGTTGTGCAGTTGGATGTCATAAAATTCCAATAACCCCGGAGGAAGGGATGGATTGGAAATCCCAGGCCCCGTAATAGAAACGGGACGAAGCACACCCTCTCCTCCTTATTGGGGTTGGGGAAGTTCTCAGCCATCACATCATTGCCTATTGAGTATAATCCCACTCGAATGGGAACTAGATCTGCGAGGGGGGTAGCCCTACGTCTGGAGCCAGCTTAGTTGAAGATGAGGCACAGAGCAACTCTGCCAATCACCCTCTTGAGGGCCATGGGGGCGCGAAGAGGAGCCTGGGGTGCCGACCATGATGGAAGGCTTGGTTTTGTGGCTAGGCTTGGCCGTTTTTTCTTCTGCGCGGTGTGAGATGGCCTTTGGAGGTCCATATCTCTTTATATAGGTGTCGTTCGAGCATGTGAGGGGCTTATTTGTGAAAAAGCATGGACCGTTCGTATTCACCCAGAGCGTGAAAATCAAAGTGCCGTCGGGGGGGGGGGGGTTGTAAAAGACAATTAAGGTTGTCGCCGGATTATCATTGGTACGAATTATAGTGAAGAACCCGCCTTGCAAAGCTGAAGACATGGGGCGAATATTGCATCGTCATTGAAGGCAGGTTCGGGGGCTACCGAGGGAGTCCTGGATTATGGGGTCCTCGGGTGTCCGAGCTATGTAGCATGGGCCGGACTGATGGGCCTTGAAGATATAATATAGAAGACCTTCCCCGTGTCCGGGTGGGACTCTCCTTTGCGTGGATGGCAAGCTTAACGCCCGGATGTGTAGTTTCCTTTTTCTGTAAACTGATTCTGTACAACCCTAGGCCCCTCCGGTGTCTATATAAACCAGAGGGTTTAGTCCGTAGAGGCTAACACAAATCATATAGGCTAGACATCTAGGGTTTAGCTTTGCGATCTCGAGGTAGATCAACTCTTGTAACCCCTATACTCATCAAATACAGCCAAGCGGGACGTAGGGTTTTACCTCCATTAAGAGGGCCCGAACCTGGGTAAACATCGTGTCTCCCTTGTCTCCTGTTACCTTCGATCCTCAGACGCACAGTTCGGGACCCCCTACCCGAGATCAGACGGTTTTGACACCGACAGATGTTGCTTCGGATTTGTTCGTGAGGGAAGTCCTCCTTCTGGATGATGTCCGATGGGGGGGTTCGAATAGTCAGATGTGTCGGAGAAGAGGAGCGCTGGCCTGGGACGGGTGGATCCAGGCGTGGTGGTGGGGGTAGTGGCGCTCGGTAGGGTTACTATGTCTACAGAAGTCGAGGGAGGGAGGGTACATGTGAGCACCGATCCGAGAGATGGAAGAGTAGTGATAGTTCTTTTTTACAAGTGGGGTACCAATGCGTGGGTGGCCTTATGAATCATTTTCTTTGGTTGTGGCAGGTTGTAAATATGGCTAACTCTTGCTACTCATTTTGGTGGCTTTCGTGACTTCTCTTTTTAACACCACGGGCGAGCTCAACTTCTCGAATTTGGCTTCATGGAGGTCAGGTGTTCGGGCCGACTCCAAGTGTGGAGTCCGTAGAGTTGTGAGTTGGAGAGGCTCTAACAGGCCCTTAGTTCATTAGTCTATGGTGGACTAGTCAAAACCAGAGTCCATAGTCCTTCGTGAGTGACCCCCCTCATCCCTCTACCATGATAGGTCATGGGCTTCTTCTTTGTCAACTAGAACCTTTTTATTTTCTCTTCCTCTATGACTTGATTCAACATATGTTGATTGTCTTGATCTATTGTTGTCTGCTTTGGACTATTGTTAACTTGTCAAGTAGAGCTAGGTGGGACCCCCCTCTCCCCGCTGACGTAGAATTAATTAATTGCACAATAATTTGTATTACAACAGGGATCAAACCCCAGGTTTGATATTTGTGTGTCTTGTAAAGGGGGGTATTCTTTCACTGGGAGGGAACGTTCCCGTCAATAGATAGGCGCCTGTGGTGACGCCGTCAATCTCAAGACCAATCGACACATCTCTTAGAGGTGTTCATAGGGTAGGATTGGCATATGCGTGTGTTCATAGTGATGAGTACTCCCTCCGTCCGAAAAAAATTGTCTCTTAAATGGATATATCTAGCACCAAGTTAGTGTTAGATACATTCATTTAAGGGACAAGTTTGGGACAAGCTTTTTCAGACAGATGGGGTATATGTGAGCGTTGTGTGTGTCTAATGTTTCTCAGTAAACATCCTTTATTTTGGTATTTTGTTTTTTGGGCTTGGTTGCAGATATTGCTGATCCTAACCTGTAACTAGGATATGGCAGGGGTAGTAAGTAGAGTACTTACTTATTTCATTTCCGTATCATTCTAAACTTGTGCTTTTTTTCGAAACAAGGGAAACCAGGCGGGAATCTCAAATTTTGAAATTTTGCTTTCATCTGAACAGCGAAGCCAACGTCACAAAAACCAGAGGGAGACCCACGTGACCACGTCGGTCTCCAGAACCCTCCGCCAACCGCACCAATGGCGCGGAAGAACAGAGGCAAGAAGACCAAATCCAGAAAAACCCCACCTTTCTCCACCCCGTTTCCTCCCCCACCGCCGATGGAGCCACAGGCCAAGGCGGCGAAGGCTTCGATCGATGTCCTCGCCGACTTCGACATCTGCAGCATTCTCCGCCGTCTCTCCCTCGCCGACCTCCTCCGTGCCGCCCTCGCCTGCCACCGCTGGCGCCGCCTGGCCGCCGGCTGCCTCCCTCGCGCCCCTCCTCTCCTCGGCTACTTCTTCCACCCAACCGAGACCCCTCCCCCGCCCCCCCTCCCGTATACCAAGAACGTCGACACCCCCGCCGTGTTCGTTCCCCTCGACGCCTCCTCCCCTCGCCTCTCCCTCGATTTCGCTCCGGACGCCTTCCGCTTCTTCCTCTTCGACTCGCATCAAGGCCTCCTGCTTTTCGAGCCGGCCGACGAGTTTCCCAAGAAGATGATCCCCCGCTTCCTCGTCCTCGACCCGTCCACCAGCCGCCGCATCCTCCTCCCGCCCCCGCCGCGCGACACGGTGCCCGATGACCGCCGCTGGCGCAACTCAAGGTACTACGTCGGCTGCGCGCTGCTCTCCCGCGCTCGCCCGGGAAAGCTCTGCTTCGAGGTTGTCTGCTTCGCCATCGACGGCGGCCACCCTCGCGCCTGGGTGGCGTCCGTCGACAACGGCGACTGCAGCTGGCGCGCGCTCCCGCGGGACGAGGAGGTCGTGGTCGAGTTCGATCCCTATTGGTTCGAGGGACGCTGCGTGCACGCCAGCGGCAAGATCTACTGGCACATCTGCAACTCTTGGCGCCTGCTCGTGCTGGACCCTGCCACACTCAAGTTCTCCTGCCTGCTGGTGCCGGACGCTATGTCATGCGGATCCTGCAAGTACCGCATCGGGGAGACGCCGGACGGGCGGCTTTGCTTGGTGACCGACGGCGAGAAACAGCTGCAGCTCTGGGTGCGCGGGGAGGGCAGGTCGAGTGACAACGGTTGGCTTCTGGAGAGGAGGATCGTGGATTTGAGCGTGGTGTGCGACATGGTTCCTGGCCTGCACAGGGACACGAAGATGAGGACCCTTAGGGTCTGGCCCAGCGACATGGACGCCGGTCGCACAGGGAAGGTGTTCATCAAGACCTGGGGATACGGGTACTACTCGTTCGATGTGGACACCGGCAAGATGGAGAGCCTGTGGACGAAAGGTGGCAAGGAATATGGGCACCCCATGTTCGCCTACTTCCTGGCATGGCCGCCTGCGTTCCTCGCTCCAGAGAACTGACTTCGGTAATTTAGAAGACATCCCACTCCTGTTAATGATGTTATTTTTTGTTCAGCGATGCTGCTTGCTCTTTTGCACACTCAGATCATTTTCTTTCATGTGTTTGCTTGGAGTAGTTTGTTCCATGTGTATAATACCATGAGTAAGTGCATTAGCTCTGAAGTAGGCTAGTACAACTTGGAGGCACCAATGTTCATCCTTTCCAGAGTATCAGGTTATGAACTTATGATCACAGGTCTTGTTGGCTGTAGCTTTGGGAGTTCTTCTTGCAAGTAATTAAGTCTGTTTTACAAGTTATATGATCACAAGTCTTGTTGACTGTAGACTATACATTATAGCTGGTATAAGAGATACTGTATGACACACTTGATACTTCCCTAATTCCTGCTGTATAGTCTCTAGTCTATCCACATGTTCATTACCCTATACTGTCTTTGTATTGTGCATTCTGAAACTTTCCAAGTTACAGCTTCTGAATTATTCTTACACATTAACTTCCTAGTACGCTCTGAATGAATTTTTGGCGTCCTGTATTACAGTCCCTTCATGTGACTTTCCTAGAACCTGTCATATTTTGGGAGTTTTGCTTTGGTACCCCGCCCCACATACGCACAAAAATAAAGTTCACACGAATCTTAAAGTTATTTAAAAAGGCTATCGCCATATTAGTTTGGTACACACTACGTGGTAGGTAATTTTGGCACTAGGGATAACAGAATTTTTATCTCGTTAACTAGGTTGCTTATGGATTGTAATGTTTCTTTTGACACGGCAGTTTTGTACATTAGGTTTGCGTTTTAACCGTCTGCTCACTCTGGTTGCCTTGCTCGTTTTGATTTGTTATAAAACAGCTTTTAGGTTACCTTCAGATTTCCAAAATGCAGGTTGTTTTATATGCTGGAGGTTTGAGTGAGCTTCTTTTGTAGGCCTGTTGCAAGTTTGAGACTGGATCTTTTAGCTTCTGTTTATGAATTGTATACCTGGGAAATCAGAATAATGTGTTTTTCTATCGGAGACATTTGTCTTGTGGGACTGGGTTGAGAGACGGTCCTTACTATTCACATGAAGTTCCTAGCTGTCACGTCTGATGTCACCTTTACATTATCTCATCTTTACAATTGATAAGGATACTCTTGACTGTATTTTCAGGTATTTAGCCATTTAGAAGATCAAAGAAATCTAGAAATGATATTATAACATGCACATATGATTATATATGTGTCATTCACTCTGATCAGTTAAGTAATACCTTGTAATCCTTGCTGCATGGGGCCAATTGATGATGTTGTTTGGGGAGTTATATTCTCTTATTCAGTTTTCTTTTCATAATACAGTGATTGTCAGTTTGTCTGAATCGGTGCAATCTTTTCGACAGCTCATAATACAGTAAAGAGAAAATCTTTCAGAATTTTAAAACAGTAAATAGCATAGACATGAGCTTGATGTTCTGGTTACGAGTCGGTTTGATCTTTTACTGCTTTCTCAGCTTGTTTGCTTGTGAATTATATTGGTTGTTTCAGTGCAAATTTGGTAGTTGATGCTTCTGTCATTTCTATGATTTAGGCCGTGTGGGTGACTTGTCAGGAATTGGGTGCATCTTCGTTTGAAGTTAACTCTTCATTTATGGGTCACTACTTACCTACTGCACTGCCATCTCGAAGCTCAGATTACCTTTGCCTTGGATGAGACTATTTATCTATGTTTGATGCTATGTTTCCAAGTGTCATTTGGATTTGGTGATATTCAGCGAAGCATACTGTTAAAATTGTGTTTCTTTGGACGATCCATCATTTTGGTCGTATTCAGTAATATTCGTCGCATTTCTACTTTCACCTTGATCTGTCTTGCGTCGGTGATTTGCTGGTCCTACCACTGATCGACCGTTGAACATCTTGAATTTGAATAGTATAGTACCGGTGTACACGAGCATCTTGAACATCTGATTTGGCTATTTATCGCATTAAGCCCATCTTCTGCGGACAATTGGACACACACAATGTTTGAATTGTAAACCACTTGTGTAGGTAAATGGTTGTCAACATGCAAAACATGACGTTTGGTTGTGCGTGGCCTATGTTCTAGTCACCCCTTTTCACCAGTGGTGACCTTACCACACATTGACACTACATAGGCAGTACAAATTAAACATTGTTTTAGTCCTAACTAGTAAAAAAATGACAGTTCTTCCTAGTTACTAACAAGTTGCAGTACAAAATAACAGTCATATGGCTCAATAGAAGAAAGATCATCGATGTCGAATTAGGGGGGAAGTCCATCCTCATATTCTTTTTCTTTAGATCCTTGTGTTACATATATTTGCCCACACTGCCTCAGCCCACTCTAGCCTTTTGCTCTTTTAAGCTTCATTGTCAAATGCCTACACACCATGACTAGAGATATCAACATCATCAGTCGTCACATCTTCCTCATCCAGCATAAATTCATCACAACCCCATTCCAGGATCCGGTTACGGAGAATGGAACATGCAAGAACAAGCCTAACTTGGTGGGGAAAGGGTGGAATGATTTCTGATCTAGGATCTTAAATCTATTATTTAGAGCTTCAAATGCCCTATCAACCTAACTCTAAGGCTAAAGTGTATGAGATTGAACAATTCTGGTGCAGTCTTAGGATAGTTCCTATAAGAGAACTCGTTCAAATGGTACCTGGTTTTCCTTAAGGATGGAAGAACACCAGGCCGATATGCCTATCCAGCATCTCCTAGGTAGAACATGCCATTGGGCATCTCCTAGGTAAGAATGTTAGTATCATGGGCTAGTCCTTCCCAGCCAGCTAACGCATATGTGAACTTCAGATCAAAGTCAACAACAAGCACATTCTAGTTTGTGCAGTGCTTTCTATCCCTATATGTTGCAATCTATAACCTCAACACTCTAACGCGTGATGGCGTCAAAACACACTGTTACGACTCTATGACAATATTAAAAGCATGTTATGGCATGAACTACGAGTAATTCTCACCTTGAAAATACGAATACCATCATGGACTCCTGCAAATCTTGTTTGGAGTTTACCCAGTTGGTGCCTTGATAACCTCTCCTCCGAGCTCCCCAATAGCATACAAGACTTGCTTGAAATACCTATAATGACCTCCACGGATCTCCTGGGTATGTTGTGAATAGCTTTGAACCTCTTATTATGACCTACGTAATGAAGGAACATGGCAACTTGCACTTCCACAAAGGTGTGGATGCTATCTTCTAGTAGCCCCTATTTGTAAACGTCTCCACAAGCTCAGCAAAAGGTGATCTTTGCATTTGAAGCATGTTCACAACTTATATGTCATCGTCGTTGTGGATGTAGTTCATGTTCGTCATCCTCTCCCTATCTTAGATTAACAGTGGATCATAACGATGACAAACTTATCACTCCGGCGGACAACTCACTTGTGGATCAACATGCCCAAAGCCTGAATCACAACCAAGAGTGTTGCTGCCGAACAACTGTCTTCATCCATTTGTCCATTATAACATCCCAAATTTTCAATTTGGAATGTTATACATAGGTCATTCATGCATATCAAATTTTATTGCATTTCGTTTTGTGATCCTCGAAATCCTAAGCAACTCAAGGACCCTCGGAGAGAGTTGGGGATTTTCCCTCGTTCTCAAATTTGAGTTTTATCAAATATTGGAACAAGGATCACTTTGGTTTTAATAATTTTTCTCTCCGAAAATATTTCATATCAAAATATATGAGAGAAGATAATATGACTTCTCCAAAATAAATGAAATATTAGAGGAAAATATTAAAATCAAATAAGTTATTTTATTTGGGTTTTATCGCTATTTTATTTGAATTTTGAAAAATATGCATTTTTCAAAATTGCATTATAGGCCCAAATAAATGTTCACCCTGTCTGGAGTATTTTTAGAGGACGGGGAAAATTTATTTTAGGATTTTTGGAGTCTGTTTAGTATTTCTTTTCTTTGTTTTTCGACATGGAATTATTTAAAGAAAAGTTACCGCCTTACCGGGCCGTGTCCGCCAGGGACACCGACCCAGCCGGCCCTTTAAGAGGCGAGGCCTTGAGCCGCCGCCAGCCCCAGCCCGCCCCGCCAAACCCTAAGCCGCCGCCGCCACTCGTTGCCGCCGTGCCGCCGTCCCGCCGTTGCCGATCTCCACCAAGCCGCCGCCATTGACTTCGGTCGGTTTTTTTAGAAACCCTAGAACGTTTTTTTTCTTATTAGATCGGTTTTTGTTTCGGTTTTTTTCGGTTCGGTTAAGTTGCGGACGTTCATCCGTACGTTCGTTTTAACGAACGCCGTTCACCCGTTAGTCACAGATAGCGAACGTTCGTTCGTTAGCCTGTTCGTCAGTTTTCTTTTTTCAGGGTTTTTCGCGATTATTTTCGATCGCGATTTCTGACCCGATTTTTGTTTTACTTTATCTTTTCGCTCGTTTATCGGAATCAGGCAATTCAAACTCCTAGATCTTCGTCTCGAAGCCCTCTTTCTGTTTAATCAACTTGAACAAGATTTTGGTACTGTAAAATTTGACTTTAGTCCAGATTAGTAATCGGATCTTGTTTCTTTCGCGGTTTGAGTTTCGTTGCTCTGTTTGATTTGATTATTTTTGCTAACCGGAGTTCTTCAGTTGAAATTTCTGGTTAGATCTTCTTATTTGAGATTTATCCGTGCATCTCTGCTTGATTGCTTATGTATGTTATTGTTTGTTTGCGATAGAACACCCGGAGTGCGAAGCGTGCTACTACGAGTCTCTAGGTTTTGCAGATCATCAGCAAGGCAAGTAACACTTTGATCATATCCCTTTATCACCCAGTTTTTATGCATTAGTTCAACCTTCACACATTGCATGAGTAGGATCTCTTAACATGTGGGTTTGGGAAGTAGATGATGAGGTAGAATCTATTACCTGTTTTATTATCAAACCCCTGGGAGTTACTTCTACGTTATGCTTATATTACCATGCTATGCTCGTAGACGTGGATTTGGGTTTGAGTGTATCCATGACAGAT